GGGCCTTCCGTTTTCCTGTCGAACGCTCTACCCCAAGACCACGGAAGGACGCTCTACCACAAGACCACGGAAGGACGCTCTACCCCAAGACCACGGAAGGACGCTCTACCCCAAGACCACGGAAGGACGCTCTACCACAAGACCACGGAAGGACGCTCTACCACAAGACCACGGAAGGACGCTCTACCACAAGACCACGGAAGCGGTCTGCATCTATGTAGGCTGCTGTGTTCTATAATGACTATTTAGAAAGAAATAAGATACAAGATATCTTTAGTTGTTCCAACTGCCATACCAAAAACCAGAGCTGGACGGTTCCAGCATGCCGAGAAGGGGTTATGGACGGGTCCATGAGTATCACGGGTGTCGGCATCAACCCACTTCCCAGTGACACATTGCGCTGCTTCGTCTTCGTCGTACATGGTGGTTTGAAATCCTCTTTCCAACATTTCAAATGAATGGAAGTTTGACGTCGGGTCTTAATCATAAACATGTACCAGGCAATAAAACAAACAAGTGCCGGCCCCACTAAGGATTTGAAATAAACGGTACGTGAGCCTGTGCATTTGCTAAATTGGAACACTTTTTTGATCTGTAATCCCTTGTATAATGCAATACAGTCTATGTGAATATAGCTCCCCAACTAGAGGTGTCATTATACTGGTTTGGTTATTGATTTTTGTCACTTATTTATGATTCTATTTCAGATGATATGGATATGTTTTCTGAAAGCGTGACTGGCCTTCAAATGTTGCTGGACAATCTCCATGATAATTCTGTACAATGGAGGCTAAATATGAATATTAGTCAAACTAAAATAATGGTGTTTCGCAAAAGAGGAATCTTACGTAATGGTGGTTTGTAAATGGTAAAGAGCTAGAGCTGGTAAATGAATTTTGTCACTTAGGAAATATATTTACGTATAAGGGTAACTTCCTATATGCCAAAAGGCGTCAGCAGGTAAAGATCTAAATGCCATTCATGGATGTCTTGTATTCAAATATAAAATCGTGTAATTTTTACGCCGAAGACATGTTGTGAATTTTTTAATTCATTTTTTAACTTTCACAATGTGTAACTTGTGTGAAGTTTGGGGTGTTAAAATGCACCAGATATAGAACGTGTTCACCTAGTGTTTTGTCAAAGAATGTTTAATGTCCATTCTACATGCAGCAATATACGGTGAATTACGGTGTATATTTCGAGATATGTAAGAAGAATAAAATATTGGTTCAAAATTATAAAGAGTAATAATTGTTTATTAGCACTAGCATATGATATTTTATGTTTGATTGTCAAAACGTTTGGGCTTTTAATGTTAAAGCATTATTACGTACACATGATTTTGCTGATGGATGGTTAAATCCATTGATTGTAAATTCAGTTACCTTTTGCGCAATTTTTAAACAAAGCCTTATAGATTATGTACACGAATGGAACTGTATATATCAGGAACGGTGGACCCAGAGTTACCAACCCTCAGGAAAACCGCCATTTACGTCTGCTTCACCTCAGGAACAAATACCTCACAGGACGCCGTGCTCTTGGTCATCCCATCAGCATGAAGACTGTATCCAGACAACTTCGTCATTATGGTCTGAGAGCCTACCGACCGTTCAAGGGAATGACGTTAACGCCCGAACATCGACGTCGGAAAATGAGGTGGGCGAGGAATGTCGAGCGATGGCAGCAGAGAAATGAGAGCAGGTTCCAATTCTTCAAAGCAGATGGCAGAGTGCGTATTTATCGGCGGCCAGGGGAACGGACGGCACGTTGTTGCGTGAAGGCAATTGAACCAAACGGCGGTGGCAGTGTGAAGGTCTGGGGTGGCATTTGTGGAAACATGAAGACGGATCTGGTTGTTATTGATAGCAATCTTACCGCTGCACGTTACACCAGTGAAGTGTTAACGCCAGCTGTACTGCCATTTCTTCAACGTCACCCACAAGCGTTATTCCAGCAAGTGGCGTTAGGACAGGCGATGCAGGTAGAATGGCGTCAGATCCCTCTGCACTTCATTACACAACTGACTTTCCCTGCTCGGCGCCGTGTCAGAGCCTGAATCGAAACACCCGATATTGACTGGATAGTTGCTTTTTCTAACATTTTGAAAGTGGCGGCTCATTTTTATTGGTGATCGAATATTGGACAGTTAAATCTTCTTCGCGAAACAAGTCGATAAAATGAATTTCTTCCGCTGGATTTGTCAGTGTTTACGCAGACATGTTATAAAATTACCCTGTTTCAAAATACAACAATCATCGTTAAAAAAATATAGCTTCGTAAATATACGAGGTGACTTTTCTTATGTCTTATGGCCGTTACACTAATATAAATAGAGATTGTAGATTGATATTTGTTAACAATCTATTAAATATACTATCGAGGATGAGTGTCATTTCTTTTTAATATGTCCAAAGTTTAAGAAAAGATAGAGTTAAGTGTATTACTGAATATTACTGGCAAAACCCAAGTAGAGATAAAATGAAACAGGTTTTAAAATGTAACAGTAAATCTCTTATCACGTACAGCGCAAAATACATCAAATCCTGCTTGCATTAATTACCGCTGACTACCTCCGGCATGGAACTAAAAAATTGTCAGACGAGGGTCTCGTAGCCCAAGTCTTCTTTTTGAATAAGTTTTTTGTTCCGTTTATCATTTTTTTGTGAGAAGTTCACCAATTAGTTGTATGGTATGTGAGATGCCCCCTTTAAACCCCAAATGTCTTATCAGTCTGATTCGCTCGGGTGTATTTGTACCTGTAACAATAGGTGCTGGACATTAGAGTTTGTTTGTTTGTTTGTTGTTTAACGCCGCACTCAGCAATATTCTAGCTATATGACGGCAGGCTGTAAATAATCGAGTCTGGACCAGACAATCCAGTGATTGACATCATGAGCATCGATCCACGCATTTGGGATACGATGACATGCATCAACCAAGTCAGCGAGTCTGGCCATCCGATTCCGTTAGTCGCCTCTTACGGCAAGCATGAGTTGCTGAAGACCTATTTTACCCCGGAAAGACCCCATCCGGATTATGACCTACGCCAGGCTAGTTTCTTGCTCCCTGAGAAATCCACACGGTCAGCTGATTAGCCAATGTATAATAATAATAATAATAATAATAATAATAATAATCATAATAATAATGATGATCATAATGATGATGATGATGACGATGATGATGATGATGATGATGATGATGATGATGACGATAATAATGATAATAATTTTCTAATATATGTCGTGTTTTAAGAGCGTGTCTGGTTTGTCAGTGTACGTGGGAAACATTTCACCGCTGATACATCCGCATCCGCCATCTGATTGCAAGGGATGTTAGTATTCTACTGACATCTAGTGATGTGAGGAGCATGCTCGTTTCTACATCGATAAGTCATCCGTAGTGTCACAGGAGGCGAGCCGATACCAAGGTCGCTGAACATTCTCCTTTCAACGATATAGTTAGTTCTGACAGGGAGGTTGCCCATACTTAACCTCTGTCAACTCCCGTTCATTGAACATGACAGGAAGCCGAACTGTGATGCGTGATCCCGGACAACTCTCTACATATTGCATCACCCGCCAGACCAGCGACGTACTTGTAACGCTTTCAGATTCCGCGTTGTTCTTTGTGAATTCAGGCAGGTTTCTGGCAGGCGCCTACTGTGCCAGACAAACACGTGACAAGCTTGTATCAGCTTTACACGGGGGATTAATGCCCGCGGGTAGGGATGTGAATAATTAACGTAGTTATGATGTTATATGACAGTGTAATTTATTGTAAAACAATGTTGTAATTGTATTACATTGCTTCTGTTAAGATACAGTAGAAGTTCATAGCATTGTGTTTTGACAATGATTAGTTGTCGGGAATATAGTACTATCTAATGTAAGCAGTTGTGTGGGAGTTACTGTATTTAGATGTTTTTAAGATCAAGTGTGATCTAGAATCTTTCGAAACAGCTAGACTCGTGAAGCACTGTATAGAAACGTCTAGGAGGTATTTAGACCATATTAGGGGACACTAGCGTGTCTCTTTGATCTCACATTACATCAAGACCAGCTGTTTGTGAAGATATTTTTTTACCCTGAATATCCAGCCTAGGCCTATTTTGGAAGCTTGACCGTTGTGGCTGCTAGATGAATATTATTACCATTGCTATCGTATTGTATACAGCTATTGTAATTACTTTTCAATAATTTGTATTAACCTGCAAGCCTATTTATTTTTATAATACGATTGTTAATTGTACACGATGTTGGTTGATGTTTTGGGTCCACACTGAATTCTTTAGCCTTTTAACTTTTTTTTATTAGGAAATCAACACGTAACAGTTACTTGAAAATGAGGTAAATAACATCATGAGGAGACCCAGTCTCTGTTTAAATAATCAGGACTGGATCAGACAATCCAATGATTGACATCATGAACATCAATCTACGCAATTGGGAAACGATGACTTGATCTTAACAGTACGACTACCGTCTGTTTTAAAGTATGAGAGTTTTGCTTGTCGCCTTGTGGAACAGGTCCCTGGCCTTTAACTGGCCTCAACAAATGTCATTTCCAGTAACGTGTCACTTTCTTCCGCCAAACGACAGATTTTGTCTCCCAACCACCCACATAGCTGTCCAAAACGAAAGCCACACGCGATCATATACGTGTTATTATGGCCATTCAAATGAAACGACTTGACCCTTATGCCGAGTATGCTTAGATGTGTTGTCAATCTATCCTTTAAGCAAATAAAGAAGTAATAATATCCCGTCTTTTATTGTAAAAAATAAAACAGCTCGTCTTTAAAAAACGCCAGGTGAAACATTTATCATACGAACATCCTTCCAGTATGATGATGAATATGCATCAACATTATATAAACCTATTTACTCAAGCTCTCAAGAGATGGACATTTCGGACCATATATCAGCCGCTAGTATATCGGCGTTGACTGTGTTGACTGACTGCCGGCGGCACGATCGCTGGGACGGTATAACAGCCACACCGAACCTCCTCTGCCCGCTCTCAGCTTCCCTTGATGCACATTAAGTAAGGCATTACGGATGCCGTTCGGAACTCTAAAATAATTTACACAAAGGACCCTAGGGCATGGCCAAATATTTTCAGAGGATGGCGACACGGATGACTATCAGTTGGGGTGTTAGTCCGCGGCTGTGAGTTCCACCACGAGGTGTGAGAAGGGGAGCCGAAGGGGTGATCTAGACTTGTCCCAGGACTCAGCGGTACTATCCGGCCCACACCCCTCCCCTGTCCTCTTGTGCCGGACACTGGGTGGACATTGTACACGTGACCCTGCTGTGTATGGGGTGGTCATACCTGATAGATCCGTTGGTATGGATACAGCACCATAGCAAGTGAGTACTTCGCCTTTCTCAACTTCCTAATCAGGAATTAGAGACAATACACATTACATGTTTGTAGACTGCATTATTTTAGATATGTGTCGCCAATTTCTGTTGTCGCCGATGCGATATTGCTGAAATATTGTTAAAAGCGACGTAAAACCATAATCACTCACTCATCGGTGTATCGCCAATTTTGAAGTGATATTTCTGGAATATTGCTAAAATGGGCGTAATACTGTACCCACTCCCTTACACATCGGTGTATCGTCAAATATCGCTCTATGCAATTTGTATACAGTCATAAAGGACCCTTGAAGATCCGGGGTAGAATAGGTCTTCAGCAACCCATACTTGCCGTAAAAGGCGACTATGCTTGTCGTAAGAGGTGACTAACGGGATCGGGTGGTCAGGCCCGCTGACTTGGTTGATGCATGTCATCGTATCCCAAATGCGTGGATTGATGCTCATGATGTCAATCGCTGGATTAATTACAGACCGCCGTCATATAGCTATAGCATATTATAGCGACTAAAATGATGTCCCAAGCAGTCCCCAATTTTGACTTTTCTGGTGAACATTTGATTTGCCTGTGTTTGTGACGGTGGGGCAGGGTACGTGCACCTTTTCGCTAACACCAGGTATCATCACTACTTGATAGTGATTCATAAACACGTGTTCATGTTGAATCGTACAGTCAACTCTGCTTTTAAGCAGATATGTTTTAAGGATATGGAAAGGATGTTATCGCTTTAAGAAGAGGTATCTTAAGAATATGGAAAGGATTTTGTCGCTTTTAGAAGAGGTATCTTAGGAATATGGAAAGGATTTTGTCGCTTTAAGAAGAGGTATCTTAAGAATATGGAAAGGATTTTGTCGCTTTTAGAAGAGTGAGTGAGTAAGTGAGTGAGTTCGGTTTAACGCCGCTTTTAAAAGTATTCCAATTTTATATCGCGGCGTGTCAGCTTAATGTGGGAGGAAAGCCCGAAGTGATGCAGGTCTCAGACGTTTACCACTTCGGTGAAACCCACGAGCACGGGTGTGGTGCTGACAAACCTTGAAACATAATCGGGGCGAACCGGGATTGGAACCCACAATCATTGGTTTCTGGCGTGCCCAAGGGACGCAATTATGCACAGCGAATCGCGGCGCCTTAGACGACTGGGCCATCCGTGCCCCCGCTTTTAGAAGAGATTTCTTAAGAATATGGAAAGGATTTTGTGGCTTTCAGAAGAGATTTCTTAAGAATATAGAAAGGATTTTGTCGCTTTTAGAAGAGGTTATCATAAGAATATGGAAAGGATTTTGTCGCTTTAAGAAGAGGTATCTGAAGAATATGGAAAGGATTTTGTCGCTTTTAGAAGAGATTTATTAAGAATATGGAAAGAGTTTTGTCGCTTTTAGAAGAGGTATCTTAAGAATATGGAAAGGATTTTGTCGCTTTTAGAGGAGATTTATTAAGAATATGGAAAGGATTTTTTCGCTTTTAGAAGAGGTATCTTAAGAATATGGAAAGGATTTTGTCGCTTTTAGAAGAGATTTATTAAGAATATGGAAAGAGTTTTGTCGCTTTTAGAAGAGGTATCTTAAGAATATGGAAAGGATTTTGTCGCTTTTAGAAGAGATTTATTAAGAATATGGAAAGGATTTTTTCGCTTTTAGAAGAGGTATCTTAAGAATATGGAAAGGATTTTGTGGCTTTCAGAAGAGATTTCTTGAGAATATGGAAAGGATTTTGTCGCTTTTATAGGAGGTATCTTAAGAATATGGAAAGGATTCTGTCGCTTTTATAGGAGGTATCTTAAGAATATGAAAATGATTTTGTCGCTTTTAGAAGAGATTTCTTAAGAATATGGAAAGGATTTTTTCGCTTTTAGAAGAGGTATCTTAAGAATATGGAAAGGATTTGGTGGCTTTCAGGAGAGATTTCTTAAGAATATGGAAAGGATTTTGTCGCTTTTATAGGAGGTATCTTAAGAATATGGAAAGGATTCTGTCGCTTTTGTAGGAGGTATCTTAAGAATATGGAAAGGATTTTTTCGCTTTTAGAAGAGGTATCTTAAGAATATGGAAAGGATTTGGTGGCTTTCAGAAGAGATTTCTTAAGAATATGGAAAGAATTTCGTCGCTTTTATCTATACCTACACTATCGTAGACCATTTCGGGGCCACACATTTTAAGTTAGATGATATCCGCCATATCAGAGTCCAGGTCACGCCAGTTAATCCCAAGATGGATGCACCAGCTATGTACATAACTCCAAATGTGATAAGTTCATTGATCCCGAGACCATTCTCCATATTCCTCCTGATCATTTCGGTCCGGTGTACCACTTGGAATTTTCGATTATGCAACATTGCCAATAATCAGCAACTCCATCAGTTCCGTATGAGTTAACCACGCAGCCATCCAATGGCAATGCAACTGTAGCACACCCATAGGATTTGAAAGATTACAGTTCGTCCACCGCAGATGGACAGGTCTGTTTAAAACCTGTATTGAACGGGTGAACAAGATGGGAATATTATCTATCGTAAGATTAATTGATGGGAATCTAATATGGACGCATGTTTAAACAATAACCCATCAATGCAAGCTGCCTGAGTTGAATGTAGTACAACAGTTTCTACTTTGTAGCATTGAATTTAATAATTGATGAATAATCACTCACATGAATTTTTCATATAAACCAGTATCTATGTTAAGCATGTGATCGCTAATCCTTCCTTATAAATATCTCTTGTAATGCAAATGAAGGCTCCACGAATACTTATAAAACAGTACATAGAATGTGTGCTTGGTGATGAAGAGAGAATCGATAACTGGAACCAACTTACTTTATAAGAAGGGAATTAGGTTCCAGTTGAAAAACAAGCACTAAATGAAATCAGTTATTGATGATAATTTTCCGTGACAGTGTTGTTTATGATTCCCTTGTTATTCAGTTACGCTACGTGTATTGCAATAATTACATCAGGCTGGAGTCATTTTCTTGATTCGACTCCATGGCCACGCCACCGTTCCTCTCTGCACGTAACAGACTAAGGCAATCACGTCCTGGTTGGATAATCCTGGAGAATGGCACCAGCATTATGCTCATGATCCTGACAGCGGCATGCGGTGTGGGTTGCTGATGCTGACGATGTCTCCATAGGGATGCGTATGCATGCGCGGAGATGTCAAGGGGAGGCTCTTGGTTTCCTCGTCCACCACTGGCGTAGCCAGGACAACGCTGGTGAAGGTTCTTGACAATGGAAAACACGAGGCAAGGAAGAGACAGTGGGTACCAGAGGGTGAAGACATTGTATAATCAGGGATACTGTAGGGTGTAGTCATTATATAATCAGGGGGGACGCAGGGTGTAGCCATTATATAATCAGGGGGAACGCAGGGTGTAGTCATTATATAATCAGAGGGAAACGCAGGGTGAAGACATTATATAATCAGGGGGGACGCAGGGTGTAGCCATTATATAATCAGAGGGAAACGCAGGGTGAAGACATTATATAATCAGGGAGAACGCAGGGTGTAGCCATTATATAATCAGGGGGAACGTAGGGTGTAGTCATTATATAATCAGGGAGAACGTAGGGTGTAGTCATTATATAATCAGAGGGGAACGCAGGATGTAGTCATTATATAATCAGGGGGAACGCAGGATGTAGTCATTATATAATCATGGGGAACGCAGGATGTAGTCATTATATAATCAGGGGGAACACAGGGTGTAGTCATTATATAATCAGGGGGAACGCAGGGTGTACACATCATACAATCAGGGGGAACGCGGGGTGTAGTCATTATATAATCAGGGAGAACGCAGGGTGTAGTCATTATATAATCAGGGGAACGCAGGGTGTAGTCATTATATAATCAGGGGGAACGCAGGGTGAAGTCATTATATAATCAGGGGGAACGCAGCGTGAAGTCATTATATAATCAGGCGGAACGCAGCGTGAAGTCATTATAAAATCAGGGGGAACACAGGGTGAAGACATCGTGGAATCAGTGAAGAACACGGACTGAGGACATTGGAGTTTCAGGGAGGAACACATGCCTCCCAGGACGTTCGAATTCGTAATTTGAGTCCGCAATTAGGTCAAGTTAAAAGGGGACGTATTTCTTATACAATAGCAAAGGACATATTTTAACGATAGACTTAATATAGAAATGATGGCACATCTAGCGCGGCCTTGTTACTTTTAGCAACAGGGTTGAGTGGAGTGGACAGCCAGTTCGTATCAACATCACCAGTGTCAATGCCAACTTAATTACCAGGGATTGACCTATTTGTCCATGGATCACATCTCAAGCCCCATAGTATCAACACAGTAACGACCTTCCGGTGCAATCAAAGGGAGGCTATCCACAGATTAACGTGAGGTAATGGACACCAGTTCAAAGGGACAGAGGTCAGTGTGCAGGAGAGTTGTTAACTTACTGTACTGGTGAACTTGACAGCTTCCACACTGGGGTGGGATTGTGTTGTGCTATGAAGCGCCAGCACTACGAAAGTCCCAATCTCATTGCTATTCCTTCTTTCCATACGTAACAAACCTTTAAGTCATCAATTCAAAATAACGGTTCTCGAGCTTACAGTTTTCTTTCGTACTGTTGATGTAAACCTCCCTTGGATTTTTGTCCTGCCTCATTTGTGACACTGGAACAAGCACAGAGCCACCCTGATCAATACTGCATATTTGCTGTCTTTTCGGTCATATACTGAAAAAAAAGGCAGGGATCATGAATATTTTTTAGCATATATTTTTGTCGTGAAAACTGTGCACACAATTGAAATAATGTACCTCTGACGGAGGATATATCTCTGACGGAGGATATACCACTGAAGGAGGAAATATCGCTGAAGGAAGATATATTACGAAAGGAGGCCATATCTCTGACGGAGGACATATCACTGAAGGAGGACAAGAACATATCTCTGACGGAGGACATATCACTGAAGGAGGACAAGAACATGTCGCTGACGGAGAATATATCACTGAAGGAGGACA